TATCAGACCGATAGTTCCGAGACATAAACACTCTATTGTCTTTATTGTTCACCACTAAATTTTCTTCCGCGCGCCAGTTCAAAAATAATATTGAATTATTTTCAACTTTTTAAGATGAAAGCCGTGAAAGCCAAATGTAAAATTTAAAAAGGAAAATAAACGAAACCCTTTTAATACAATTTCGTTTGTTTATTTTTTTTATAAGCTCGCTTGTCTACAGAAACTTTTTCACAGAGGAGTACTATCCATCCGGGTATTTTGCTCGGACGGACACTATGGGCTGATAGTGTCTCTCCGCGGATGAACACTATCGCGTCACGTGATCAATTTAAACCAATAAGAATGGGAGAAAATTTATTGGTGAACTTCACGCATAGAAATCGAGAGCGAATAATCTAATTGTTTTAGCATAAATCTACTAGCCGTTCAAAACTTTATCTTAATTCTCTTCACAGACACTTCGAAAACGCCAAGAAGCGGTCATCATTTTGTTAACAAGGGCACACTGTTACGCTACTCGCTATCTATCACAGAATAGGTAGTGAGTAGCGTAGCCAATCAGAGAACGGCATTCTTAATAGAAGGCTAGTAGATTTATACTAAAACTCGATAGAAACACAGAACTAGCACGAGCTGTTGACGTTATGATGGCGCGAGCAAAGAGAATTTACATTTTGATAATCAAAGTTAACAAGTTGCTTTCCTTTTTTTCGTCGCGGTGTTTTCTAAAAGAAATAGAAAACATGTTCTCCGTGTTTCTATCGAGTTTTAGAAACACTCGTGAAAGTTTTGGAGAACTCGAAAAAGCTGTGGAAACACTCGCTTGCGGCTCATGTTCCCACAGCATTTCTCGTTCTCCCAAACTTCCACTTGTGTTTCTATAACTCGTTATAGTTCACCACTAAATTTTCTCCGATTCTTATTCGTGTAAATTGATCACGTGACGCGATAGTGTTCATCCGCGGAGAGACACCATCAGCCCATAGTACCCGTCCGAGAAAAATACCCGGATGAATAGTACTCGTCCGAGAAAAGTTTTCTGTAAACAAGTGCGCTTATAAAAAATAAACAACTGAAATTGAATTATATGGGTTTTTATCTGTTTTTTCAAATTTTGCCTTTGACTTTTCACGCCTTTCATCTTAAAAAAGTTAAAAAATAAAAGAAAAATTCAGTGGTGAACAATAAAGACAATAGGGTGTTTATATCTCGGAACTATCGGTCTGATCTTCTTCGTAGGCACCTCGAAAATGAAAAGAATCGGCCGTCATTTTGTTAAAAACCGAACACTGCTACGCTACTCACTATCTATCACAGATTATAGTTCACCACTAAATTTTCTCCGATTCTTATTGGCTTAAATTGATCACGTGACGCGATAGTNCTAAAAAAGCTGAAAAATTCAATACGATTTTTGAACTGGCGCGCGGAAGAAAATTTAGTGGTGAACAATAAAGACAATAGAGTGTTTATGTGTCGGAACTATCAGTCTGATAGTTACCCTTTGGAAATTTTATGTTCTTAAAACTAGCATATTTGCCCTCGAAGCTTCGCTTCTCGGGCAAATATTTGTTTTAAGAACATCAAATTTCCGCGGGGGCAACTATCAGCCGATAGTTCTTCGACAGAAACACTCTATTGTTTAAATAGATAGTGAGTAGCGTAACTAATCAGAGAACAGCATTCGTGATAGAACGCTAGTAGATAACTTGATAGAAACACGATACATGTTTTCTATTTCTAAATAATCTATTGATATGGCTGGGTGAGCCTTCCAGGTTCATTGTTTATAAACTCGTAGACAATACTCCAATAATCATAAGATTGAGTGATATACGGTCGCTAACTGCGCGATGTTCGCACGGAAATTGTCACGACCCTATTTCAGCTCTCAGTTTGCGGAAAATGCAATTATGAACTGGTTAACACACAATTTTGAACGATAAAACGACGAAAACGGACTAATTTCGCGCGAAGACCAATCCCCAAACATTCACTATTAACTGGCGATATTGACATTGAATTTCAAAGGTCTTTCCCACGACAGACCTGAAACTTTTGACGGCTGCAGGTATAGTAAAGACTAAATATATGACTTGTTGTCTAGGATTTGATGCGGATGATTTTGAGGACGAAGACGAAGATGACCCAGAGATAAAGAACGATCCTATTTACTCGTTAGATTTACAGGTAATTACACTCAATCGCTCTTTAAATCTTTCCGTTTACAGAGTGAGCCTGTACGGGTCCGCAAATGATCCCCAAATTGGACCACAAATGATCCCGGACCGGAAATGATCCCCATATTGGACCGCAAATGATCCCGATCAAAAAATAAGGAATGGCATGGATTTATATCAGACGAAGGTGACAACATGTACAAAAATTATGAACTAAAAAACATGTTTTATCATTTTACAAAAAAAATAGTCCACAGCTGCTGTGTTGTTCTTCGAAGGGTACAGATCGTTTTCACTGTCACGCAATAAAAGAAAATAATAAATCGAAAACCAAACAATGGAAAAAGCT